AATAAATTAAAAAAAAACCCCAAACCTAAAAGCTTATCTGCTTATATAGTTCTTCCTGACCTCCACATGAGATCATTTTGCTGTGCCATCTATACCAACTGGTGCCAGTTCCAGTAAATAACACACAGTTGTTTATCAGGATGACAACAGAATACACAGAATACAGCACTAGTTAACACAGAATTTTAGCAGCCAACAAATCAAACAACAAGATGTCACCTTTCCTCTTAATCCTGCAGATAAAGATCTGAATATACTGAGATTGAGCAGCTTCCTAATGAAGTTTTGTTTACACAGTCCTACTCTGTCAGTCTTCCCAAATAGTTAGACTTCCAACACAATTTGACATGAAGAGTTATATTAAAAATGAAAAAATGACACTCCTACAAAGTCAGTACAGAACAAGTGTCCAGAAAGAGAAATGCTATTCGTTGGCAACAACAGGAAAAGATTGAAGCATGAAGTCATCTCTTTATGAACCCACACAAAAAAATTCAGTCTTTGGAAACTGGAACTGGGTTCCGCATCTTAGACAGCTGTTACAGACCTATACACTGAGATGCCTAGACTATATATTTATTGACCAGCCTTTAGAGGCTTCTTCTTTCCCTCTGACTGAACAGAATTTGGAGTAAGTTAACATAGATAAGCATCACCATTAGCATCCACACTCCACAGTTCTCATCTGAATAATATTTATCCAGTATTACTTCAGTAATTAAAACTGAAGTAACTTCAAAGTGGTTGCAAGTCACTTTTTCTTCTAGTTATCTTTAGAAGTCTTACAATTTTGTTTCATACATCAAGAGCAGCCAAAAGGATTAAACAGTCAAATCTATTAAACTGATTAACAAAAACTTAAAATATAAATATACAGTGGGATACTGCATTACTGAGATAAGTATGGAGCCTTATTTCCCAAAAAAGTTCTGCAAAATCCCCAATGTTCAAGTAACATCATTAAGTTTATGAAATGAGGCAATTAATAGAGGAATGACACAATCAGAATTGCTTTTGCAATACTCTGCTTTATACAGTACTACAAATTGACTCTTCAGAACTAAATCAGATTTTTATATTTTTAAGAGAAAAAAGAAAACATTGCTTATGCAGCTGAATAGTAACTCAAAGAACTGCAATGTGTTCCTCTTTTTTGCCACAGAATCTTAGGCAATGCATGGCAAGTCGATTTTACCACTTCACAGTCAGTTAGTCAGTGCATCATGAACACTTGACCTGAGTTTAAGACTTGACTTGCAACTGCTCAGATAGAGCATTAAAATACATTAAAAAGCATCAAGCACCTTTCTTTCTCCCAAATGAGATTCATAGCCATGACACATGAACACAGGCTCCTTCACAACACACTGGGAAAGTCTGGGCAGTTCAGAAGGCAGTCACAAACCAGCACACAGTTAGCCTTTGGAAACTTCCAATGTGTAGAGACATGGTTTTCCCTTCCCATGAGCCTAACAACCAAACTCATGGCTGCAGTGGAACATGCTGAATGTCACACACTGCCTGAAGCTCTTCTTAGATGTTCAAGTTTCTACTCACAAAAGCAGAGAAGCTGCAACATTTAAGAATAGGGCAAGCAGCAAAAAGATGCCCATAACGAATCAGTAGCTCAGTGTACAGAACACTTATCCTCACTGCTGCATTTTAGGTTCTCCTCTGACACCCTCCAACTTCTGTAATACTGCCCTGAGGCTCCTTGTCACTATTTTGTTCTTTCTTCCTCTTCAATCACCACTTCTTACACATCTGCAGTCTTCAGCCACAAGCCCATTTTTGTTTCATTTGCATCATGTGAGCCATCAAAGCAAAGAGTTTTAAATTTCCCCATCCTGCTCAGCCCAGGAATTTGTGCAATTCAGCTGCCATATAATAGTTACTTACTACTAATATACTAAGGTATATTCACATTTTTCAGAAGTCGTAAACACATGAAGCTACTAATCTTGCTTAATTTTCGCTTAAGTGGCAAGAAAGACTTCTTTCATATAAAAGTCAATTCCAGGTATGTTTAGTTCCTTCTTTAGTCCCTTCTAAATATACGACTGCCAGGAACATTAAAGCAAGATGTTCTTCCACAGCCTCATGGTGGCCTAAGTTTTTCCCAAGAAAGCTTGAGGTAAACACCTGGGCCCTGAAAAAAAGGGATATTGCAATGGAATGTCAAGCAGCTTACTACCAACCCTATTTATGAGGGACACAGCCTCATCGCTCATCATTTCTAAACAGCATCTCTGCCATAGAAAGTAACAATACTTAGGCAGCAGTAATCAAATATAATTAAGCTATTTATCCTGCAGCTTCAAATTCATCATTAAAATTAAACCATACCGAAGGTATAGGGGTTTTTTTTACTATTATACTCATATATTTGTTATTGGTTTCATTAGCACAGAGCCCAGAAGAGACTGAACACATCCTATGAAGGAAAACACAGGCTTTCAGCTGTGTCTGTTTGCAAAAATCACAGTCTCCTATATCAGCATTTTCAGACCAACCTCATCTTACTGCAGTGTAATCTTTCATATGCAGAAATGGATACTTTTTGTGGCCTGAGCAACAAAAATGGTTCTGATCCTCAATTCATACAGCTACTGCTTGGCAAAAGGGAAAGCTTTAATGATGTCTACAGATCAGATTATCCAAATTCCAAAGAACAAAGATGAAAGATAACACACGAATCTACAGTGGCCTTGAAGGGATGTGTATGTGCCTGTCCCACACACTCACTACTGTATCTGTGAAGAAAGATATAACATATTTACTTTAATATGACAATAATATAGATTCCAAACAGATTTACAGAAGAGGAAAATAAGAACAGTCCCCCTAAAAAACTACCCTTCTCCAAGATATTTGATAGAGTGTATCAAATCTACAGTGAGGACATCACATGCAGAAGGTAATCAAATTTACCAAGAGGATGAGCCTCCACAGCACATGCAATTCATTGACTGAAGACTAGGATTTTGCACAGAGCAGGCTGTTCTTTAACTACAGAACATCTTTAACACAGAACAAGATTAAAAATGCCAAACAAAACCTCTGTAGCCACAGAAAGTTAGACAGTCAACAGCTTTAGCTAACTGCAACTTTTTTCACCACTCAGTGGTTTTAGCTAAATAATATTTTGTTATTATACAACACATAAATCAAATAAAACTTGATAAGTGAACATGTTATAACACACCAGGAGAAACACTAGATGTCAAATAGTATGTTCAAACCACATTGCTTCCCTTAGTACTACAGCTCATGAGACCTTCTGGATTACCAGATTTCAGCTCTTGAAAGGTAAAAGAAACTTCAATATCCTATTTCTAGCACATTTCAAGCCACAGAAAAAGGCCAGGATGTGCAAAGGCAAGCCACAACATTAACTGTTTCTAGAGGTTCTACATCAAAACACTTCCAGTGCAGGAGGAACTGAGCAGCTACTTGAAAAAATAGCTGATACGTTGACAGAACACTCTGTTACAAAGTCCCTCCAAGTATACCCTGAAGACTTCAGAGGTTATTGTGACCTGAAGAAACATAGCATCTATCTTCAAAGGCATTTAAATCAAGAAAATATTTCAAAAAGCAAACATACCCAAAAGACATAAACCCACCAGCTGAAAAGCTCTGTCAGTGAGTGTAAATAGCCATGCATGTTTTTCGACAAAACATCAACTGAAATGTGATAGTGGTGAAAAACTAAGAAAAAATTGTGGCTAATATTAATAAGGGTTTATCTTGCAGCTAATTTTGTAGCCTGTAATTCAAGACTGGTTTTTCCTACCAATGTTACTAAGAAAAAAGGTCTGCCAAAATCCCATACTTTTATTTTTTTAGTCATAGATTTAGAGGTACAACTGCATTGCAACACACACTCCCTTCTGCAATACCAGATGAAGATGGAACTATTCACCTACACCATCAACCAAATGTAAAGATACTTTTTAGAGGACTATGCAAGCACAACTGGAGATGAATATCCATACACAATGGAAGTGATCTTAAAAAACAAACCAAATATTCAGGAGACTAAGAGCCTGAAGACTTATATTTGTTGTTCAATTTCCTGTTACTATAAATACAGCTCCTTTGTATAACACACATTTGGTCAAAAGATTCTTTGATTTCAATTTTTCTGTAACAATTTTTAATAATGCAAAATTAAGTTTACCTGCACAAAAATCTAAGAAGCCATTTGTACAGGATGTGTGCAAGTGAGCAGTTTTGCATGTTTTCTTAGAGGGCTAAAAGTGAGCCAAAGCAAATTCGTATTACTGTGTCTGTTATCACCCTCAGTTGAATTTAGATGACAAATTTCCTACAGACAACTGTTAATCCAGCAGTAATAGAAACAAAGTAGTAATCAACATAAATCTAATTTTTAAAAAAAAATAAATATGTGAAGTCAAATTGTGAAAAGAATACACCAACATTAGAAATTAGCAGTCAGTTATGTTCTTTGCACCCTCACAGGAAGATTCCCAAGTGAATAACGAGGTATTTTGCCAAAGTGAGCTTGACCACCAATACCAGCAAAATGTGTCAAGAAGAGTTGTCAGTTCTTTGATGAGAGAAAAAGATAAAAAGGATGGAAACATAAAGAATTATATGTACCTGTTTAGCCACACAGTTGCTAAAATATCTGCCACTGGTTTTCTTCATCATGTACTCACAAAGGGCATACAAGAAAAACTCTCTTGGAAAACTAAAGCAAAGGTTGTTGCATGGAAACAGCCTTCCCAATGGATATATTTCAGTGTGTATCCCAAAACTGATGATAAACAGGAACAGAAAGCTGCATGTACAAAAGCACCATGAGATGTTTCCTCACTGGATGCAAATACCACTAGTTTATCATCTCTGTTAGTTATCATTCAGTGCTTCAGGGACAAGATTTCCTTCATGCTTTTCAGCAAAAATTAAATTTATCAGAAAATGCTACTATTAAGCAGATGTGCCACATAATTAGCAACGACAAATCCACTTACTTTTTTCTCCTTCTCATGATGTTTATCCTGAGAGTGAGAGGAAGAATCACTTAAACTTTGATCATATGACCTATTAGATCCCCGTTTGCTCTTTTTCTAAAAAGAGAAAACATATTTATGGATAGAGAAAAGGAACCATTCGAATAAATAAAAAGTATAAAGCATTTCAACTGACAAGATGCCTTATTGCTTGAAGAAAAAAATATCAGTACTTCAGTTACTGAAAACCTGACTAATTACTAACACTAATAAAATTCACAGGACTACTCAATGTACACCAGGAAAAAAGCCTATCCTTATATCAACTTTTACACCTCCCACAAATCTGCAAGATATGCTTTCCACAAAGAAATGAAATATGCCACTTTTTGAAGGTTAAAAGAGGCTAGACACATTTTCAAGTTTTCGTAGCATAAAACAAAAAAAGATGCTGCTCAAGTGAGTATCACATGAAGACACAGTGCTAGTCCTGACACATGCTTGAAATGCGTTGTGAGGTGGCTGTTTTATGGCTTCATGACTTATTTATTATTCAACTGATCTGTCTAGAATATTTTCATTAAAATGGATTTAAAAGCAGGATACAGAATGCTATGGTCATGTATGCATTTACAAGCAGCAGACATAATTGCCTGTATTTCTGTAGTGTCTGGCAGCCTAGTCTGGGACTGCAAATACTTTATGCTAGGCCAATGTTCAAAAGTCTTTGCTATTTTATCAGAACTGAGGGAGCATTATAAGGACACTTTAGGGTGGTGCTTTGTCAACCAGTTTTCGGTGGAATAGTGGAAACACACCACCCACCATCTTCAGCAGTAAATACTGAGCACCTGTATTTAACAGGCATTAAGTCACAATAATCCCAAAGAAACACTGAAACAGTTCAAACAATCTTGCCAGTCCTTACTGTTCTTACCCCTACAGCTTCCTAACAGAGAGCTAACTAATTACATGTCAAATATAGAGTTATGTCCTTAGCACTGAGCTTGCTTTTTAAATGAACATACCTGTTCTTAATCCTAGCAGCACTACAGCATTCAAATCAAATGCAGAGCAGTGCATTGTTACTGCTAAGTAACAAACCATTTTTGCTCTTTTTGTAAATACTTAGCTCAAGACAGGAAAAAAAATAAAGAAATAAATCTTAGCTTAGTAAGGGCCTAGAAAGCCCAGACTTAGCTTCATTACAAAGCAAACTCATCAGTATTCACAAGAGCACAGGACCAACCTCACCAAGCTTATCTTCTAGAAAGCTAAAATGGTTCACTGGTCCTGTGTTTTTGCCTCATTGCAACCTGTTCAAAAGTCACACCAAGTATTCACCTATTTTAGCAGTGGAAATAAGCAATCTGCAAGTTTAACTACACTTACAGCAGTATCTGAATAGAAGTCTGTATATTTTAAAATTCATAAATAACATTTTTTTAAACATCAGTAAGTCCCTTCAAGTCCACACACTCACACATGAGCACAGAAACAGGTATCTGGAACTATCAAACTGCTAAGTGATAGGAGAGACTCTAGAGGTCTGATCCAAGACCTACTGCAATAACTGAGAAATTTCATTGGGCTTTGTTTGCTTGTTTTTCAAAAACCAAACCTCAACTCACTTCCTTGAGGTTGTGTCTCAAAGAGCTTATAGTCAGGGAATATCCACTGGCTACATGGGGAGAGAGAGAACAAGAGGGGGGAGAAGAGTAACAGAAGCAGAAAGAAATTGAGGCCTTCTTTATTCTCTAATATACAGGATAACAAGTAATATTTCCTAGTTTATTCCAAAATTGACTAAATTCCTAAAAGGCACCTAATCAAATAGCAAAAGAAAACATTACAGGGACTCAATGAAAAAACCACTAAATGTGCATGCTATTTCTGGCAGAGAGGAAAACCCACACACATCTACAAAGTGACCACTTATAAAAACATTTTCAGCTACTACTTCTGTAACTGCCATTAAAACATTGTTTTAATGAAATACAATCTACTTTTTGAGCTACACGAAAATATTATTTCTAGCGTTAACAGCAATTCAGAGTGAAAAAAATAAGTCAGTGACATTTATTTATAGAATTTAACAAATACATACCAGTTTACTAAAATGGTATTTACAGTAGCCGCAGTACTGGACGTTATCTGCACCATTGCCTTCCTCTTCACAAAGAAGTCCTGCAAACTGTGCACTAAAAATAAACCAAACAACATTCAAGGAAAGCAATTTTACATCAGCTTGTACCACAATATCACAGCTGACAACATATGGATGCTTATATCTGCAATTAATAAGAGGTTTTCACACAAGTGACTTCCAGTGGCCTGTGGGCACATCACTGACCTCTGCACCCAGGGAAATGTGTGCCTGGTTCACACTTTGGCCCCATGGCTTTTACACAGCCCTTAAGCCACTCACACAAACTTACAGCTTGCAAATCTACATTTACTGTGCAGCTACTCCCACAAATAAATAAACAGAGGAATTTACAGTGATTCTAAGCCAAATTAAAGCCAAAAATTAGGGAAGGAACAGTTTTTAACAAAACCACACTGTAGATCCAAAGAAGATTTTTTTTTTTCAAAAGTTGCATACATCCTTCTCTGATTTGTCAGGAAAAAGGAACTTGTATTACATAATAAATCAAACCATATTTATTGCTTTAAGACTGTAGCAGGTTAATTTCTTTTAAAAAGAACAAGACTTACAAGTTGCCTTGCTTGGGCTAATAATTACTTTATTCTAGTACATTATTTTTATACCGATTTTGCTTTTTACCATTTGGAATGTTGATTTGTTTTCTTGATCAAAACCAACTGAGACACTGAAAAACCAAATATTCAGTTTCATTTTCCATATAACTTTCATTACCATAATGATGCAATGTTACAGTCAAAATGATGCACAGGAGTATTTAAATGCAAGAGCAGTATGTATATAGGGTGGCTTGTTTTCATTGCTTTTAAAAAACATGTTCTTGGGAAAGCCAGAAATACTTCTTCCTACACACATGCAGACCTACAGCACACACCAAGCACAGAAAACATTGAAGAGGATCTCTTTAAGCAAAGATTTATTGTTCTAAGCTTGCCATACAAAAACAGATGGACTCCAACTCATTCGTCCTTGGACATTAGTTTTTGTTAAGCCCAAACTGATACACCTTGCCCTGAATTTCTGCCTTCTGTAATTTTCGTATTTTTCTTATATATTTTTTAAATATTACAGAAGCTTCTCAATAGCCCCAGTCACAGTACTCTCCAGCTAGATATCATTTTACAGTGAAGACCAGGTTTGTGAATCAAAACATTTTAAAAATTGGCAAGCTAAGTACTGTAATTTTGAACCTCACATTCTTCATGGTACTCACTGAAAACAAGGTTTTGGAAGAAAGCAGAAAGATGAAAAAGGCTCTTGTATGCATCTAGGTGTTTGAAAGAAAAGAGACCTTTTCATACAAGCACGTGGACGTATACATTTTTTCACATCTGTAAGTAATCCCTTTACATGGTATGCATGCTTTGAGGAACACAATCCACTGTCACCATGAAAGAAACTTGACATTGATCACATCCGATGAAAAATTAGATGCTCATGAAAGAATAAAACCCACAAAATAGTCAAGTATTATAGAAAGAAAAAGAACAGTCGCTAAGAAATCAGCACCTAAAACAACAGAATCAAATCTTTTACGACCTGCACAAGACATACAGATTATCACTCGGTTCCACTGAAGAAAATATGTTTCAGTAATTTAAGTAGATGCACAAATGTCACTTCCCTGACTGAAGAGGTCATGAAGCAGCACACTGGGGCACTCATAAAACAGACAGGTAAAGCCACAGATCATGTAGCTCCACAGTCCATATAAACCTGCTAACTATCTATCACAAAATAACTTCAGCTGAATTTGAAAAAAAATAAATAATGCCTGTAAATTTTGGGATGGAAATCTTTTTGTCTCCTTCTATCTGTTGACATGTGGCTCAGTCTAATTATCCAGCCTCTTTTAGAAGTACAGGAAGTGAGACGAGCATCACCTGTGTGCAAGCAAACCTAAATATCTTTATATTTAGTTTAATGAGTCAGATGGCAGAGGACACAGCTGTTTTTCATGTTACACATGAAATCTGAATAGTTCAGGATAGATCTGTACCACTTAGATAAAACCAGTGAGGTGAATTACCTCCAAATGTTTGGGAATCTGTACCAAAACAGATGAGTCTAGTGCATTTTCACGTGTAGCTCAGTAATTTTCCCACTGATTTGTCAATAGTAAACATCACATCAGTTACAGGCAAACAATGTCTTCACGCTCCCACAGCCTATCAAAACCCCTAAAACTCATTCACAGGAGCTCACACCATTTAATACAACCCAAGGGAGTATTATCACATGGTTTTTGCAGCTCACAGCAATACCTATGCTGCTGCTGCCCTATTGTTATAAACCATATCATAAAAACAAACCCCTTTACTGTATTTCCTTACTCAGAAATGTACTGACAAAGAGTTTATTCCTTATATTGTGTACATTTATTCTTTCTGGAACATGAGAAATGTTAAATAATAAAATACACTTACCACGTTACGTGAAAAGCTTGTCGACATCCGTGTTTGTTACATGTCATACAAGCACCAGTGGCTGCTTTACTTTCTCTGCCTTGTTCATCACAAATATAGCACGTCTACCAAAGAGAAAATACTTTACATGATAAGAAGCATACAAATAAATTCTCTGTTACAGGAGATTCTAGGCTAGGAACTACTGGATTTTGCAGCTAAGCCTATGTAAGAACTTCTTGATGAAAGTCTAATTATGCTTGTTTGATAAAGGAGATCACCTGGGACCTGTGCAACACTTCACCAATGCTAAAGCAGCACAAATACGAACTGACTTACATTCCATACCACTATTCAACTAGCCAAAGGGTTAAAGAGCCAGGGGTTAATAGCACTAGGCTTCAAGACTGTCCTTGCTTTCAAGTTTATGTTTATGTCCTTTTAGGCCACAACCATTTTCACACTCATTTAACATAAGCTGTACTGGTGGCATTCAGAAACAGTTACCCTGAGTGCCTAATGGTACAATATACTGCTACAGGTATGCATACATATGTCTACACAACTACCTAAAGAAAAACTGCAAACTTCAAATTTTATTTGCACACTTGGTGCAAAGAATTTTCAGAAGTGTCATAGCATGCTTCAATATTCAGATAATGCTCAGTTACTTTTAATTAAACTGGTGTTTAATAGAACTCCCATTTAATTTCAGCATGACTTGGACACTCCATAAACATCTTGGAAACTAATCAAGCCCGAGCCTTTGGTAAACAAAGCTTAAATCAGTATATCAATCCCATTTCAACCTCCAAAACAAATTTGTTTCTGTCAGATCTTAGCATTTCTGTCAATTTAGTTTTACTAGGATGCTATGGCAGTTTTTAGTATTTTCAAAAACATCCTCAGTAAAAGGCAAGAATAAAATTAAGAATCTAAATTCTTTCTCATTATTCAATAGTTTTTTTTAACAAGTGGACAACAAACATGGATCCATGCTGTATGGAAGCTCACTACTATACCAGACTTCACTCAATCTCTCGCCAGCATTCCAGGGGGAAATGTCAAGCAAAACCACATCTGTTTTCCTTTATTCCTGTCCTAATTACTGAAATACCATTTAGAGAGATTCTATCACATCACATTTATGTGTGAAATTTAACAATTTAATAACAGATTCTTAAAGAAAGTATCATCCAGCACTGGGGTGGTAAAGTGTTTGGTTTTAAATTAGAGAGAACCTTAATGAGTAATAAACACCACTACCTCTGGAGGAATCCCATTATATGATCTTAGATGAGAAAAGAGAAACTTTTTTTATCCCCCCCACCAAAAAAATTTGTATATGTTTTTAACTATAACTGACTTATTGCAATTTTATCACAACCTCCCTTCAGTGAGACAGAGGAGGAGTAGAATAATAAATAGAAATAACATCAACCATGGATAGTAGAAAACACAGTCGAAGAAAAAGGGACCAAGATATCACAGAAATGAAAAAAAAATATATAGTGCAAACTCAGTATTACTTAGACATGAAAATGAATGAAATTCTGAGATGAGAACAGCCTTTTACAGAGGTTTTTAGAAAAACTTTTAACATGAGATGTCAACTAACTAAAGCATTTTTGCTACTAAGTGAGGCTTGAGGGTAGCAGAATCATTCTTGTACAGTTTCCACAAGATTCATAAATGGATTCAACCCAAGAGTTAATATATCCTAAAATCATACCCTATATCCTAACATTTGAAAGAGCAGAAAGGGGATAATCCTACTTAATTCTTTGCCTTGCTTCTTTTGTACATCAAGGTGGTGCATACTGATAATTCAGTTGTTTGACAGGGCCTGAGACTGGAAGCTTTTTAGCTTTCCATACCATGACCTGACACATTTAGATTTTAGGAACAAATGAGGTCATGATCTATCAACCTCATCTGAGTAACTATATTAAGTGTAAGTAACTTCAAAGTAAGATACCTCTATAAACACAGAGTTCAACAGACCCCATAAAACTCAGTCTCCAGTTACTTTCTGGTTTTTTTCAGAGTTTTGCCTTAAGTTCTTTAAACTTTTTTCCTCACTGAAGCTTAGAAAGAAAAGCAATATAAGCATTCCATTTAGTAGGGATGTAGCCCCATTTTTCCACATACTACATTTAGGGTCTGTGTTTCAGGACCTCTTAAACCAATTTACAATAAAATGGCTGAGAAATTACAACAAACCACCAGCTATGCTATCAACAAATCTAAACACAATGAGGGGGACTGCCAACCCCTTTTAACTAGCTCCAAGAACTTCTATCTTTCCTACAATAGTCATGGGAAGTATAAAACTCTTTCCTAATCCTCCATAGGAAACAGAACCAAAGAAGGTTCATCTTCCTGTTCCAACACTGACAGCAAATTCTCTAAAGCTAAGCTTCTCACACTTGTACCTTCTCTTGGACACAAACAATTCCAGAAGCCTGAGAGTATTTATCTTTCACAAAGGAAGACTTTCATACATTTGCAAATCCATGCAATTGCTACACCTCTGAAACCTCTGGAATGTGGAAGTTTATAACTCTGTGTCCCACCACCTACAGCAGTGTTGCTCCTTGGAGCAATCAAGGGAAGAGAGTACTCAGACTTCTTTCAAATTCACTGGAAAAATAAGCAAATCATTACACAAAGCTTTTGACTCAGCAAGGAAATTTTACTCAAAAAGAAGCAACAAATATCTTAGTTTCTTTAAAGGCAAAATAGACATTTTACAAAGCTGGCCTCATGTTTCTGTCAATATTTTCCCTTCAAAGATTCAAAATGTAAACCTTCCTTGCAAAAGCAAAGACCAAAGGGAAGGTGAGACAAAAAAAACCCTAAAAAGCAAGAGGCAATTTGAGAAATACTTTATTCATAACGGCTATACAACAGCATTTCCTGATCACAGAATCAAACCTAGGAGTTATCTGGAAACTTCTCACTGTTGCAGCAAGTACTGAAGGAGAAGTCTACCAGCTGCCTTCACTACTAAGCAAATCAAGAAACTTCAAATGCACTTATATTTCAATCAATTCTTAAAAGAGATCCCTAAAAGCAGCAATCACATACTTTCAAATGAAAGAGACAAAGACCACATAAAATAAAAAGATATTATCTATGCATAACCATCCAAGGAGTAACAAAGATCTACTAAATAGAGCAGCAACTAACAGCCCATTTCTTTTTGGATGTGGCTGTGTAAGAAGTGCTTCCTGACAGCTAACCCATTAATTAAACCATTCATTGGATTCATCCTGTAACAGGATGATTGTTATCCCAAAAGCAGGTAAACTTCAGGGAAATAGCAGCCAAATGTCTTTATATTGAGAAGCCTCATGCCTTGGTGTCTGCTGCATTTCTTCTAGCATTTAAGATTACTGTACAAATTAAAATTACATATTTTGCTGTGTTTAGTAAAGAAACAAGTGCACAGAAACAGTAAATTAAGTACCATGTCCTGGCAAAACTCCAATGATGTTTATTTTAAAGACTGCAGTACAAATTCTCCCTCATGGTAATTTTCTCTGGCCTCTATTATCCCCCAATTCCATATGTTAGTGTTCTATATGTAACCAGTCACACACAGAGAATTATTTAGAACTTCACAGCAAACAGAATCTTACTTGAAATCATCCTATTCTAACCTGAGTTGACAGACAGAATGAAAGTATCACTAAACCTCACTAAAAAGAGAAATAACTCCAGCCATTTTTTCCTAATTCCGTTTACATTTGTTCACAATGTACAACAAATATTTTAAGAACTGTTTGTCATATCTACCTCTCAAAAAAAATAGCATTTGTTTCCCATTTCTTCCTAAACTTATAAAAGTCAGACTGAAATGCTTTACAAAGTTTCTAATCTAAAAAAAAATTTTAAAAAACCATACCATTTAAATAAACACAATTTACACTGACTAGCATTGGGGGTGGAAGGTGAAATTATTGCAGGCTAACTGCAGTAACACTTTTATTGGTTTTGGAGGGTATTGCTCAAAACTTGTCTACTTGGGCACCGGAGGCAGTTTAGCCACAGGAGTACCAAACTCAGCACCAGCTACAGATTGGTCAAAGGAGCTGAGACTCCCCTGCCAGCCATTACCTCTTGAGTTCTGTGCTGCTACAACCAGACTGCTGTTGGCAGGGAAGTTAGATTGGTTTCAGCAGATTTGCTGCAACAACTGCACTATCAACATTTTTTGGATTCCCCTGAAACCCACAGTCACTATCTCCCTGAACCAAACAGACCAAATAAAGACAGCAAAACCTGAGTTTCGTAAAAAGAGAAATTACAATAATTTTCAGGCTAGGGGTATGACCCCAAACCTTGACATTTCTGACAGAGGTCTCATATTTCACGACAGTAGTAGTTTGTAGGAAAGTAGTTTCAGGATGACTGTTAACATGGAAAAGAGGCCACAACCAGAACACCTGTCCAAAATGCAGAAAACGAAGAGCTGGACAACATCAGGAACACTGTCACCATGAACTGTGTGGCACTAGTAATTATCTAGTAAGGGGGGGAGAGGAAGGGGAAGGAAATCAGATTACAGACCAGTAAAATACAAACTGGAATTTTAGCAGTAAAATACAATTATACATCATATATTTGGAACAAAAATAGTTCAAGAAAGAAGCAACTTTGGTGGTGACTAAAAGGAATTAAAGCCTAAAGACCAACAATGGATTCTGTGAGCTAGTGAAAAAAAGACACAGGGTACGTTTTTTGAAGTTACAAGGATTTTCTCATCCAATATCCATTACCATCAATGGAAATGGTGCAAGCTCAAACAAAATCCAAAGTGCTCCATGAAATTTTTTAAGTACATTAGGGAAGAACCACTACAATAATAAAAAAAATTACTACCACTACTCAAGGAAAAATGAGAAAACAGATGTGATGTTTACTCAGAGTTGATGAAAGAGAGAAAATAAACCCATCTGCTACAGCAAATATGAAATGCTTTGTGTTCAAGCACAAAAATGTTATTAGTGCTGCACTTAATTTCACTGTTGCATGTTCTTGCCAATGCAGGAGGAAGCCAATAGTGAGGGGCCAATGGAGATGGCTCAGGTAGTATGTAATGAGAAAGCAGGAGAAAACCCTTAAGTTTGGCTCCTGGCTTCAGATACACTGGTAAAATAAGACGGGCAAAACATACTGACAGCAATTGTGAGAATCTGAATCAGACAAGGAAAAGACCAAAGAAAGAAAAAAGAAAAAGGGCTAGGAAAATGGAGGGGGGCCCATAAATCAGAGATGGAAGCTTGGAAAGGAGGTGTGGGAGGGTGTGAGAGGTCACAAAGACAACACAAACAGGACTGGTCTCCCCCGAGAAAGAACACAAGAGGTGTTTTTCTTCTTTTTTTCTTTTACAACACAGGCTATTCTGCTTTTCCTCCAGTGTCCACAAACTACCATAAAATAATGTAACAGAAAGAAACTAGAGGTAAAAAGAACAAAAAAATATGTAACATAACTAATCAGAAATTCAGTTTGCTGTCTATGGAAGGGAATATACAAAGAAAGATGTAGTTAAGTCTAGTGAGGACAAAGTAACACAAGTGAAACAAGTAGAAAAATGTAACTATCAATAAAGAACACTAATAAGTTACTGGTTTATTGCTTTGACTTTTGTTGGCGTTTTTTTATTTTACTTAAAGTCTCACCACACTTTATAAAACATTCCTTCTCACTGACACTTAGGAGCAGTTCTTCTGCAAGCAAATAATCCCACCAAAGTGAATATTGTTCACAAAGGCAAAACTCTGCAAGCTTTTGCCTTAATACATTAGCAAACCTTTTCTTCCTTAAAGAAATTTTATGAATGTGTTTATGTTCCTACCAATACTGAAAACAGTAGGACTTTGTGGTAATTAATAATAACATTTCCAATAAGCTGCAATAATACTTCAACCTATGGGAAATATTTCACATTCCTTCCAAAATAAACTGTTATTCAAAGATCATGATATTTTTAATGAATAAAACAGTCCCTAATCTGTAAAAGAACAAAGAAACATGGCAGATAACCTTACTGCTTAATTTAATACGGCTTTCTTAATTCTTCAGTTTACCATAAGGTCATAGCAGAAAACAGAGTACTACTGAACACATGTATGAATTTTATGTAAAGTGCATTCTAAGAACTGTAGTTCTATATTATTAAATCTCACAAGTTTTAAAATAAATACAATAGATATAAAAAAGACATAATTATACCTTATTATAACGATCATGAGGAACAGACTGCAACACGATAGGTTCCATTGTAGCAACATTTGCAAACTGCACCTCGGGAATGTACAGAGCACAAACCACATGAGCCCAACCTACAAAAAGTTATAATTGTATTTAATTTGAATGTTTTCTAGAAGCTCAAAGGACATTTCAATTATTGTACAAAGAACCTTTTACAACACTTTCCTTTTCCATGGACTATTTTAACTGTTTAGAATATTACAGACATAAGTTACTCATGTTTACATTTCATTTTTATTAGCCAAAGGTTAGATGAGCTGTAATACGTTTCTAAATTTAGTCAGGGGAGAATTTATACAAGTAATACTCCATGAAATTCAAATACTGATGATTTATACAAACAGTGACACACAAATGGAAAAACAGGTTATTCTTTAAATTTCCTGGATTAACACAGTCATGGCATAAAAGCTATGCAAATTCCTGCAAAAGGGAAATATCATCTGACCAAACTACCATTCATGCAAACATTACCATCACATAAGACTTCTGTGAATAATTTTTATTTAAACAAAGTAATTCTGATTTGAATAGACTCCTCTTTTCTTTGTATAGAAAGAACTCCCAACACACACATCCCCTTCTATGAAATCTCTTCCTGCCATAAAGGTGTGCCCCGCTCATTTTTTCATAGGAGTACAAACTCCTATATCCAGTCCTGTTCTAACTCATTAACTTGGGGTCATCAATAAATGTTTCGTTACTTACCATATCATGCCTTAACAACATTTTGAGAAGCAAACATTCCTGTCTGATATTTGGTTGGATGAGGGGGGACACCAAGTCAAAGAAATCTAGTAATTGAAGGCCTTTTTCAGCACTAACATCCTGAGAGCTGTTGGTTTGTTCCAGTGAAGACAGTTTGCTATGGCTGTATATTTAGCAGAAGCTGCTACACAGCTAACCCAACATATTGCTATATTGATGTTAGTAATATGATTATAAGAGTAGTATTATTTCATCTGAAAGTGAATTTGGTGTGACTAATCATTTGGTGTGAATTCTGCTGTTCCCCAAGAGGAAACCTTAACTCTCTTGTCACAAGACCTTCAGCATACTTTAAAAATAATGGTGCTTTCCTCCTACCCAGGCTTACTTGTATACAAACATTAAGGACATAAAATGACAAACTTGCATAATTACATAATCCAGCAGACTATTAGATTAGGCAAAGTAAATTATCACTGTCTGAATGCACACTATAATTAAAATTTTTAAAAAATTAGAAAATTTAAAACCCCACACAAACCCCACCACACTGCCTTAGCACAGACCTTTTAGAGTTATATTTTCATCTTGGATTTTCTCTTTTTAACTACTCTATTGAACCTAAAGGTTCTTAAATTTCTTCATCTAACTGTACTCTGACTCTGAAACCAAGCTAGACATAAAGCTGTACTTGCTTACAGTAGTATTGTTGAGACTCTGGAATGGTATCTAGAATAAAAAGCACATATGCAACTCCAAATACTTTTCTTAAAGCCTGAATCTTCTCTAGTGGCTTCCAAAGGAAGTACACACAACAGTTATAGTTACCATCACACATATCATTCGAGTATTTTCACTGCAGCTAAATACAGAATCTGTGCTGCTTATTCACAAATAGTTTGTGGAGTCATTCCATACAGAAAAAGCATGAGACTAATAGAAGTGTAGG